GTAGTTCCCTTCTAGGGAATCTGATGCCCTCTTTTGGTCTCTGTAGGCAGTGTGTGTGTGTGTGTGTGTGTGTGTGTGTGTGTGCAGACAAATGTTCATACATACAAAATGAATCTTAAGAATTTTTTTTAAAATGCTGACTTCAGGAGCATTGTTTTTGAGTTAAATGCTAGCCCTCACTGCTGTACTCTGGATACCACAGAGAAGAGGGAGCAAGCAGATGTGTTCTTTTTTGTCTAACTTATTTCTCTGGACACATTGTCTTCAAGATTCACATTCTGAGAATATACCAAAATTTCCTTCCTTTTAAAGGAAGAATAACTGTCCATTGAATGCAGATATCATGCTAGTTTCATCACTAGTGACTGCTTCTACCTTTGGTTATAATGCTGCCATGAACAGGAGGGGACAAATGACTGTTCATGTTCCCAATTTCATTTTAATGAGGGGGTGGGTAAATTCCCAGGAATGGAACCGTATAAAGATTTCTATGCTTACTCTACCTCTTCAGACAAAGACACCACTTCTCTGTCCTGGACTAGACACAGTCAAGCTTATTTGGATGGCTCTTAGCAGCAACGATATTAAATATTTTAATTGGACTTTGAAAAGAATTTCCTTTTAGAACACCTAGGCAGAGTCTTCCAAGAGCTTAGCCCTTCCTCTGGCCTGAATCTGCCAGTATGGATTGGTGACAAAACAGAATGGCTTCCCAAATGGCCAAATCCCTCTTCCTGGTGCCTGTTACTTATATAGTAAAGAAACTTTGGATGTTCAGGGGATCCTGGGTTACCCAGATGGGACAGCCGTCATCATGAGGGTCCCTAGAGGTGATGTGGAGATAGGAACTGTTGCTGTTAGAACCATGTTATGGATTAAATTGTAAATCACTACACCTACAAAGAGGGGGAAAAAAAGCCAACATCTTTTTTACAGTGATGTTGATTACAGTGGGATGTGGCTGCTCAGTACAAGCAAAGCAAAGCAGAATGCTGTGGGAATCAAGAAGAATGGTCCAGCCTGGACATCAGGGAAGGACAGTTTCCCAGAAGGACTGTCCACATGAGTTGGAGCAGGTGTTTACAAAGAGGGGAAAAGAGAAAGACTTTTATGGGGTCAATGGAGAGAAGATTTTTGTTGTTGTTGTTATAACAGACCAATCTCAGGTCCAAATAAATCTAAAGAAAGATGGCAAGGAAGGTAAAGGGGAAGGTTAGAAGAGAAGCTGATGTGTTTGCTTTACTCAAGTGTTTTCTAGAGAGAAACTTTTAATTAGGATGTTTCCTTATGAAAACTTGGGTGATGATTTGGGCTAGGAGAGAGTAGCGTGGTGATGAGGTCAAGGAGCAGGAATCACAGGACAGACTGACTTCTTGAAGGTAGACCGTTTTCTTCACCTAGTCCCATCCATCAGCACGTGCCATGAGATTAGAGATTTCAGAGCTTGATCTGGGCTGCTGGGGAAGAGATACAGGCTGTGTAGGACTGCCTAGGACCTCTGGCCAACAGATGGTATAAGGCCTGGAGTCTACCTGGTCAGGCTGTGTATCTTGGTAAACATCTCTTTGACTGGAGGTACCATTTAGATGCTCAGTAATTTAGATGCTGGTGTCTCTTGGTCTGCATAGAAGGGTCACCTTTCTCTAATATGCCACCTATGTTAGTTTGTTTTACATCACAGACCTGCTAGCATCATTTCCCCCAGAAATCAGCCTGCCACAGCTCCCTCTGGGACAGAGAGTTGTTAAAGCACACTATGGCCCTTACAGCTGTGAGCAAGCACAAAGTAACCTTGAATTATGGCTTTATTCTCATCACAATATGACCTCTATCCTATGTGCTACAAGTCACAGAATATGGAGCTGGCCCACTCGGTCTTCCCACTCTTACCCCATCCACAGAAAACCTATGGGAGCCAGACCTCTCATTGTCCTTTCAGGACACCAATGTTCTGTCTAGAGTGCAATGCCCCAACTCTCCTATTGCTCCTCTACCTCCAGGCCTCACATGACTGTGTATGGCCATGAACCTGTAACTTTCCTAATGCTCTCCCTGCTCAAGGTCTTGACTGTCTATGGCCTGAGCCTTCATATAGCTTTTGACTCATGCACATAAGGCCAGGGTTATCTATCTCCTTTCTTTGTAATGTTTCCTTTTCTTTCCTTCTTTCCTTCTTTCCTTCCTTCCTTCCTTCTTTCCTTCCTTTCTTCCTTCATTCTTTTTCAGCATAGGAAGTCTGGGGCACAATGATTCTCTGAATAATTAGCTAACAATGTTTATTATAAATATTGTCTACAAAGTTCTCTATAAATTCCATTTTTAGACTGGAAAGATAGTTCAGTGGTTAAGAGCACTGGCTGCTCTATCAGAAGACCAGGGTTCAATTCCCAGCATCCACATGCAACTCACAACTGTGTGTAGCTCCAGTTCCAGGGGATCCAACACCCTCACGCCAATCAATGCACATAAAATAAAATAAACTGCCAAATTCCATTCTTGTCATATCCTTAAAATTAAATACTTGGTAAATTTTTCCAAATTTGAAATTTCTTCTTCCACCTCACAGATTGATATGGAGTGAGGTAAGGGGACAGACTATAGGACTTGGGGTGCCCTTCGACTCAAAGCAGCACAAATCATCAGGTCTGAGGCTTAATGTCAGCAGAGGGAGGAAGGGGCTCTGACAGAAGTTTGTGTGCCTCAGAGCAGAGGGAAGCACAGCAGTGTGGGCGTTTTAAGTGGACTTCCAGATGGCAGTAGGGGCGAGTAGGAGGAGCTGGTGGGGGCAGTGGAGCACATGGGGAGGAAATGGGATCCTCATTCTGTTGGAGATCCAAGTGGGGTGGGTGGGAATCCCATTCATCAGGGACGCTGGGATTTCAGATGTGCTTGTAGTCTATGGTTGCTGTCAAGATTCTTGAACAAGGGCGGCCGTTGAGCTGTCACTTACTCTCCTGGATGTCATGGAACATCTTTAGGGGCTCTTCACTTTCTACCTTTGCTGTCCCTAGGAGCCTTATGCCATCATAATAGTACTCTTCTTATTCTGTCCTTTAACATCCTCTTCCCTAGGCTGTTGTTCAAGGTCTTGAAGCTCCCTAAAGGTCAGGTCTCATTGCTGGTGTCTTTATTGGAAGTAGCCTTGCACCCTTGCTCAGGCCTGGCTTATCCCTTTTCTTCTTTGTGTGGCCCTCACCCCCAGATTCATGTAACATGCATTACTCACCTATCAGTGGGTGCCCCACAGAATGCTGTATGTGTGTTAGCCCTTCTCCAAGTCAACTGGGAAGACCCCAGATTTGATGTTCAGTTTCTTACAGTAAGGAAGATACAATAGCTGGGAGTGGCTCTGATGGCTGTTAGCTCACATCTGGGTAGATCAGGGAGCAAAAATAAGACAAGAAATAGGGGCAGGCTATAACTTCAAGGCCCACCCACCAGTGTCCTAATTCCCCCGGCTATGCTCCACTTCTTAAAAATGTCACAGACCTCTCAAAACAGCGTTATTTTGTGTCCAAGCACACAAAACTGGGTTGATATAGAAATCTTTTTTCCTCAGGAGCAAAAAGACCAAGGTATTGAAATAAAGAACATACCCATTTGTCACACAACCCATCTGATTATAAAGAGAAAAAGATTATTTTGGGCTCTGTTTTGGAGGTCCAGACCATGATGGATGGATTGAATGGCTTTGGGTCTTTCATGATTGGCATATAATGGTGGAAGTATATGAAGCAAAAGGGAGGAAGAGAGTTAGAGCCCACAGTCCCCCAAGACATGCTACGGATGACCTAAAGGCCCTTTAAAGTCACCAGCATACCTATCAAAAGCATAAAAAGACCTAAGGTCCAGGCCTTTAACTCATGGACTTTTGGGGGACGTGCATGTACCAAACCAAAGCACATATTGAGAGACAACTATATTGGTGGGGAGGGAAAAACATCACATAGATGCATTTGAAAGTGGTGGGAGGCTTCTTTTAGTTCCAAGCTGAATAACTGCAGCTACGTGCAGACTAGAGGGGGAAATGACTCCTTTTCAGCTCCCACAGGGCCCTGCCTGATGCAGTGATGGAGGGGGTAGACAGAGGCACTGGCCTTGCTGATGGGAAACGTCCAGTTGGTTTACATCTGAGCCACAACTGCCCAGATGACAGGTGGTTGGTGTCATAATGAGGCTAAGAACCTTTCCCACCTCTCAGCAGCTATTTCTGGCTGTTAAGTAATTGTTAAACTGGCAGTTGCTACATTTGGTTCTTCACGTCTTCAAGGTGCATCTTTATTCGCAGGGAACGAGTTCAATTAAAATATACACACCTTTTCTTCCAAAGATCCTTTTGGCCTGGTTACGGTATTTCCATTTTGGGGGAGACTTCAGTTTATCTTTTGGGGAAAAGCATTTTCCTGCCTTCCTGCTGCTTCCCAGCTGCCGGGAGGTGAGCAACTCCTTTGGTCATGTACCTCTACTGTAGTGCCCTGGGTCACCACGGAACCAGAGCTACAGGACCAAGTGACTGTGGGCTGAGCCTCCCTTCCCCTCAAGATTGTGAACCAGACCAGTCTTTTCCTTGTTTGGTGTATTTTCTCAGGCAGTTTGTTCTCAGCGACAGAAAGTGACCAGCATAACATGTATCTGTTTATCTAGTTCTCATTCAATCTTTACAGGGCACGCATATATCATGGCTACACTTAAGAGATACAGGTAGAATCTTAGTATGGAGACACAGATCATCTGCCCAATGAGCAGCAGAGGAAGAAGCATCCATGATCGTAGAAACGACTGCAATCTCACACGTGTTCTCAAGTTCTAACATCTTTCTACTTCTCTCTTAATAGTAGTAATAGGAGCGGCGGGGCTGCGTCCCCGGAACCCGGCCGCCCCCACGGCTAGCTTTACCTGAAATAATTACACGGACACTGTATTCTTTTAAAGACTGCTTGGCCCATTTCTATCTAGCCTCTTCTAGGCTAATTCTCACATATTAATTTAGCCCATTTCTAATCAACTGTGTTGCACCCCAAGGTGCGCTTACCGGGAAGATTCTAGCCTACGTCCATCCTGGGTCAGAGCTGAATGGCGTCTGCCTGGGGGAGAGCTGCACGGGGTCTCTCTGAGGCGTCTTACCTCACTTCCTCTTTCTCCCAGCATTCTGTTCTGTTTACTCCACCCACCTATGTTCTAAGCTATGAGCCCAAGCAGTTTGTTTATTACTTAACCAATGAAATCAAAAGATTGATATATGACACTCCCACATCACTTTTAATCCTGGAAACAAGTCTTAGGTGGAGGTGTAGTTTCTACTTGAACTAGCTGTGATTCAGGAGGCATGGGACTTGAACTGAACCAACCAGTGCTGGCGCAAACTGAATGGTCATGTGACACAAGCCAGCCCAATCAGAACAAAGAACAGTCTTCAAGGCAAATCAGCTCCTGTTTTCTGTCCTTTGGCCAGTTTGGTGTGTGAAGTGTGCAGTTTCTGAAAGGCGACGCTGCCCGAGAAAGAAGCCCATGTTCAGGTAGGCTTGAAGAGATGTAGGGAAGAGAAGCAGGTAAGGGCTAACTACAGCAGACCCTGGGGTGTCAGTAATCACAGGGGACAGTCAGGTCCCCCTACATTTTAGACACATAGTGACTGTTCCCAGAAGAGGATCACATTGACCCAGACCTGTGCCTTACAGTTTCCCCAGGGCACTGAACTCCCTTAAAGGATACTTCAATAATATTCTATGCACAGAGGTTGAAATTTCTCTCAAAATATAAAGAAGGGTTGGTAGGGACTACGGTGACATCTAGAGAGTCCCAAAGAGGCCTTGGATTCTGGCGAACGATGTAAATATTTCTAAACTGGTTTTCTTTTTGCATTTCAGAGGTTGGACAAACTCCTGGCGCTTTCCTTGGTGATTTTGGAACAGTAGCAAAGTCTTTTTAGGGGAAGGGAAATAAACATAAATCATTTGACAGACACTGGGCATGTCTGGCTGGCCGTGCTCAGAGATTTAATTATGTACCTACAGGAATTCAAAGCAATCAACACGCTTTTGGCTGGGAAACCTTTTCCTTTTCTAATCCGATACAAAGACATTTTTATAGACGTTAAGAATGGGCAGATGATAAGTCCACCTACCTTTAACCATGTAGCAGGAGGCTCAGGAATACTGCCGGGAGAGGCTGGGAGGAGGAGATGGGACTAAAGCAGCTGCAGAACCTGAGAGCCATCTGTACATGCAAGAAAGGGAACGGTGTGGCCTCTGGGAAGCCAGAAGCAGGGTGGCAACTGGCTTACTTACTGAGGTACTGAAGGAGGGACGTGTGAGTGGTGTGAGTGAACGTACCCACAACTGGACACGACTTCTAAGTAGTTCAGGGGACTAATAATTCTGAAGTGGTAGGGGTAGTGTCTTTTTTCTTTTCCTTTTTTAAAAATTTGTAAAATTTCTCTGTGTAATAGCTCTGGTTACCCAGGGAACTCACTTTGTAGACCAGGTTGGCCAAGAACTCACAGAGATCCTCCTGCCTCTGCCTTCTGAGTACTGGGATTAAAGGCATGCACCACCATGCCCAGCGTCTTTTTGTTTTTAAGTGTATCCTAAGACCATAGTACCTCATAGGTAAAGTGTCCAGCCTTACATAATTGCCTGAATGAATGAGTGAATGAATTCAAGAATAGATACCAAGTGCTCTGAGGGCAGGCAAAGTCAGGCTTTGGGGATGCTAAGTTTGAGTCTTGACTGTCTCAGATAGCCGATGAGTTAACAGCTTGGCTCCTAGAGAGGTGTTATTTACAACTGATGTAACCTTGAAGAAAAGGGGTCTACTAGGAGGTTTTAGGTAATTGAAATTATTATCTTGAAAGGGATTGTGGGATCCTGTCTCCCTTTACTCTGTCCCATGCTCTTGCTGTAAGGTGACACTCCATCACAGGTTAAAGTGTAAGGACCACGGTCACCAGCAGAAACTTCCGAAACTGTGAGCCAAGCATCCATTTTCCCTTTGTTAAGTTAGTTATTGCAGGGCTTTGTTACAGAGATGGAGGGCTGACAGGCACAGAAGAAGAAGGGAAAGGGTATGTGGACAACTGGGGGGGGGGAGGGAGATGATGTCGCTCTTGGAGGGGTTCCATCAGCATCTCCCCATCATGGTCTTGGGGCCCAGGAGCATCAATGACACATTGTCTTAGAACCCTGATTTTAAGCATCATCCTCTTGGCTTTCTGAGGGCCACTTGTGCCGCACCAGCTGGCCAACACTTTTATCTGAAGAAAATAACTTATTAACCACAGACTGTACTAACAGTCATTGAGCAAGCCACAATGAACAGGTGCGGGTCAGTTTTTTTTCTTTTTCTTTCTTTCTTTCTTCTTTTTTTTTTAATCCCAGGCAACTGTGAGAAAGTCTTTCTAAAAAACAGACAAGGACGTAAGTTTGATGAGCTGTAATGATATAAGGAGAGCCATTACAGCTGGGACCCTGAGTCTACTTAGGGCCCTCGGATCAAAACCAGATCATTCCGGAGGCTTTATTTCATCTGTGGGGTCTGGCAGCATCTGCGCCTGGGTGAGAGGGACCCATGCAGAATTTCTTTGCGGAGCCTGTTTTGGTCATCAGTGTCCCTTATTATAGGCAGCTGAGTCTGGGGGACCTTGGGGTTCCCCGAGGCTGAGCTTGCTGTGTATTTTCTGGCAGGTCGTGGTCAGGAGCAGATGACGGTAGCATTGGCACAAGCCACCATAGCATGGTTTTCATTATACAGTTTCAGCAAAGCCCGGTATTCTCCCTGCGAGGGACACAGGTAAAGTGTTAGACACGGGATCCACAATATAATCAACCTCTTAATAAATGCAGCCAGTTCCTTTTCTATCCAAGGGCTGTGCCTCTCTGTACTCTACTGACCGCAGAATGAAAATACGCATAAAAAGTTGTTTCTGTGCCAAACACGTTTAGACTTCTTTGTCTTTTTAAGATCCTCTGGACAGTCCAGTATAATGATCAACATAGAGCTTACATGGCATTAAGTCCTATAAGTCATCTAGAAATGATTAACGTGAACCCAAGGATGAGTATAGCTTTCACTTGCTAAGCCATCTTTCTGTCGATATCTGTGGATTTTGGTGTTTGAGGGGTCTGGAACCCATCCCCCATGACTGTTGAAGAACAATTGTATTTATTGAGCAGCTTATATGTGTTGGGCATGGTTCCAGAATGCAGATAGATTAGACAACACAAGCCAACCCCTGCCCTGCATAGCTTGTACTTTACTGGGAGAGAGGGAAAGCTCTCAGGACCGCTGCAACTGCAGCTGTTATGGAGAAATTTGTGCAGGAAGAGGGTGGAAAAGACAGCTGGGTTTGGTGGGATTGATGTTAGCTTGCAACTCCAAGTAGGATGATCCAAGGGAGGCCTGGGAGAGAGGATGCCCTTTAGGCAAATAGACCTGAAAGAGATGCAAGAGAGTGCCAGGCTACTGTGGGGTTGATGTCACTGTATTTGAAAAACAAGACAAGACAAGAGCCAATGGGACTTCAGGGGGAGGGAAAGAAAGATTGGAAGCCCATAGAAGGCCAGAGTCTCAGGGCTGGGCAGACACGATGGGATTATTTGCTTCCAGTCTGAAAAAGACTCAGGTGTGACAGTTTTCTTGGGTATGTTAGGAAGATCTCTCTGGATGTTGTGTTTAAAAGAGGCTGTGTCATTAGCTTAAAGAAAGCTATAGCATTTGAAAGAATGGGCTCTAGCTTATGAATGACAAGATACACATGCTTTTATATAACGGGTGAACTTGTTCAGGGAAGCCAGGCTTTCTGGGGGCAGATGGAGGCATGGACTACAAGACAGGAGGCAATGGATGGGGGACAGTCTGTTTCTGCGGTTCAGGAGGACACTGAAAGTGAGCGCTAGATGTATCTGTGTTTGGGGCAATTTATGGTTCAGGTTGTACCAAGAAAGTGTCCTCATGTTTTGGAAGACCAAAGGATCTCCCACTTTCAGTTCAGAGGAGAGCAGTCACAGAGAAGTACAGGATTATATGCAGGACTTTAATTTGGGTCAAGAGGTTGTTGGGTTAAAAGGAAAATAAGCTGGTGGAGATGGACTTATATAAATAAGCTGGTGCTATCCTTTCTCAGGACAAGGAAATGATAGCAATGGCGGTGTCAATTGCCCTGATCTGGTCAATATATATATGCATGTGTCCTGAATGTCACATTGAACTCTATAAACACACCCAATTACTATCCATCAAGTACAAGATATGTTTTATGCTAGGGAGGCGGTTTAGTTGGCATAAAGTCCGATGTGCAGGCATAAGAACCAGAATTCATATCTCCAGAATCTCTGTAAAAATCCAGGGGTGGCAGTGTGCCCCTAAAATCCTAATGCTGTGGGTGGGGGTGGAGGGTGGAGATAAGTTGCAGGTGGACTTTTCTGTCCCACCAGGACAAGCTCAGGCTTATTACTAACTAGCTCTTACATTTTAAATTTACTCATATTTCTTATTTACACCACATGGTACCTTTTTTTAAATTCAGCAAGTTCATCTCTTAGCAACTCCTGAGACTCCTCCCTCCTCCTCCTCTTCCTCCTCCTCCTCCTCCTTCTTCTTCTAGTTCTGTTTCTGTCTGCAAGTCCTGCCTAACCTCTACCTGTCCAGCTATCGGCCAGTTGGTTCTTTTGTTAACCCATGAGTGTAATACACATGTACAGTGTACAATGATTGTTCCACAGCAACAAGGGGATCCCTGGAGATCATTGGCCAGCCAGTCCAGGTGAACTGGTGTGTTTCAGGCTCAGTGTGAGACCTTGTCTCAGAAAATAAAGGTGCAGGGATGGCAAGATGGCTCAGTGGTAAAGGTGCTTGTGGCCAAGCCTGACAATCTGAGTTCGATTTTCAGGACCCACATGGTGGAAGGTAAGAACTGACTCCTGCAAGTTGTCCTTTGATGTGTCACATGCACTGTGACATGTACATAACACACACACACACACACACACACACAATAAACAAATAAATGTGAAAGTGAAGATGGGATGAGATCAAGAAGACCATGGAGACCTTAGGTCTCTATAGACATACATACACATCCTTCACCTGCACACACGTGTATATACTCACACTAACAAGTACATACCACATACACAGAGAAGCAAATAAATAAACACATTTCCAAAAAGGGGAAAGATAACCAGGGTACTGAAAAGTAAATACTGAGTGGAAAGAATCTTGGCTAAAGAGGAACTCTCATTAGTCCAGAGCGATCTAGGTGAAGCAGGGGGTGTGAAGAGGCCCCTCATCAAAATGTTCTCAGCTGACTGCTCGTAGGGCAGCAGAAGCTCTCTGTGTGGCTATGGGCTGGAAGCCCTGAGCACACTGTGGCTGTTTGTGACCAGTGTGGTTAGCCCCTCTTGGGATCAAGGTCCCCAGCTGTTGTGCTGAATAGGCCTCTGTAGAATGTGTCCCAGGAGGCTATGTCCTCTGTTGGGTCTGCAGGCTGGATGTGGGTAAGGAGTCTGCCAGGTGTCTGCTTCCCGGGTGCAGGTCCCAGAAGAGGAGGCCCAGGCCCAGAACACTTGGCCACGAGTCTGGCTTACGCTGGATTCTGTCTCTTGGAGAACTGTTTATTGGCTGAGGAAGGCAGGGAAGGAGTATCCTGCAGGCACTGTAGATGACGACAATATGGTGCCCGCTGCCAACGGCTCTGCTTCCAATGGTGGGAGATAAAAATGGACTCAGTAGGATCTATACCTTGCAGCCTGAATTTTCATTTTCATCCAGGCCTGCGTGACGCAGTTCAAACCTCCTTCCATGCTGAGCAGCGTCAGTGAGTCACAGTGCCCAGCCGTGAGAATACGTGATCAAACGGCCAGCACTCTTCTGAGAACCATGCGTGAAGCCATGATGCTCTTTCTGGAGGCTGGGTAGAGTCGATGCATTTTCAACTTCTGCTGTTTAAACTCATGGGGAGTTTATGCGCTGTAACTCTGAGTTAAGACGAGGAGCATCTATAAAGCCCTTTACGTCTGGGGGGGTAAATTTCCTGCCCAAGAGCATCTATGACTTCAAGACCCCATCCCCTTCGTTTCATTGGAATTGCTAAGGGTAACTGATTTTTAAAAAGCCAGCCATGCAAAATGAAATCCAATTGTTAGCAATTATTACATCAGTCTCTAGTGGGGTATTAGAAGAAAAATGAGCTAAGGAAAAGCTTTCAAGTAGCAACAATCTGAAGAAAAGCTCCCTGGGAGAGTTTAGGCTGTGCATGCTAGGAGTGAGGAGAGATTGAATTTCCCTTCCTGGCAGAAGCTGTGCATTTCACACAAAGGCCCGAGAAGATCACTGGAGAGTTCCCAAGAGTAAGGGCTAGAGACTTCAGCCTCGAGAAGGATTCCTACGGAAACCCAAGAGGGCCTGTTCAAGACTGTGTGCGACAGGAGGGAAACCAACTCCGAGCTGAAACAAAGCTGCAGGGATTTCTTACAGCTGAAGAGACGCCGTGTCTCCTTCAGATTTCAGATGACAGAAAAGAAGCTGAAAGCAAGATGTTTGACTGGTTCCATTTTCAGGGTGTTCCATACCATTTCTTCTTCAGTAGCAGGAGGGAAATGCATGGCGACATCAGAATGGCTTAAATTCACACGTTCCTGAGATAACATTATTTTGAATAAAAAGGACTTCACGGGAAATGCTAAGCTTAGCTTTGAGTCTTGTTGCTGAATGCTCGGGACAGGCCACTTTATTTACTTGGGGATACCGTGGTGTGGCTTGACTGTCCTCATTGTAAGTCTATTGAAACTTAATCCTCAGCATGAAGACAGAAGGATGCATACACAGTGGAACCTTCAAGCGGGATCTGCCCTTGAGTGGATTCTTTCATTCACAGACTAATAGGGTAAAGAGTCAATAGGTTTTCTCGGGAGTGGGTATATTATAAAAATCACTTTGACTCCTTTAGTCCTCTCAAGTCCTGTACTGACTTAGGATGCTGTAAAATCCTCAACAGCAAGGAGATCCTCACCAGATGTTCCCCCTTTACCCCAGATGTTCAACACTCTGGAGTGGTGGGCTAGGTGCACCTTTATTCTTCTGTGTACGTGTATATATGTGATCATGTTTGTGTGTGCAGACAATTATATATACATATAATTTTATTATATATAAATCATATATATATATATGTAATTATGTGTATGTATGGATATAAACCACACATACACACACATATAATTTTATTATATATAAATCATATATATGTAATTATGTGTATGTATGGATATAAACCACACATACACATATATAATTTTATTATATATAAATCATATATATGTAATTATGTGTATGTATGGATATAAACCACACATACACACACATACATAATTTTATTATATATAAATCATATATATGTAATTATGTGTATGTATGGATATAAACCACACATACACACACATATATAATTTTATTATATATAAATCATATATATGTAATTATGTGTATGTATGGATATAAACCACACATCCACACACATATATAATTTTGTGTGCACATGCCTGTGGAGGCCAAGGACAATCTTGGGTGTCACTCCTCATGTGTCATCCACCTTTTTCCTTTTTTTTGAGTAAAGCTCTCTCATTGACCTGAAACTTGCTAGGTTGGCTGACCAGCAAGTCCCAGGGGTCTGCCTGTTTCCACTTTTCCAGCCTTCAGATTATAAGCCTGTGCCACCTCGTCTGGTGTTTTTAATGTGGGCTCTGGAGAGCAAATGCAGGTCCTTACATTTGCAAGGTGAGCATGTTCCCAGCTGAGTGATCTCCCTATACCTGTTGTTTATACATTACACGGTAAATAGAAGCAGACTAAAATCCTAGAAGACATAGCAAGACATTGAAGCCGTTGTGGTTTGGAAACTGTTCTTTCTGCCAGAAGTTAGTTGCCTCCTACACACCCTAAGCAACTCTGGCCATACGGGGTCCCCACAGACACACCCCAACTCTGGGCATTCTGGGTCCCCACAGACACACCCTAAGCAACTCTGGCCATACGGGGTCCCCACAGACACACCCCAACTCTGGGCATTCTGGGTCCCCACAGACACACCCTAAGCAACTCTGGCCATACGGGGTCCCCACAGATACACTCCAACTCTGGCCATACAGGGTTCCCATGGACACATCCCCAATCCAGTGGACAAGATGCCAGCATTTCAACTCTCAGCTGGGTCTGTTCTGGTTCAACCCAAAGCCTTCAACAGAACAGCAATATGAAGCATCAAAAGGACAAGGCCAGCATGCTAAGCATATCTCCTAATTATGGTACGTGCTAACACTTTCAACTATTTAAGTAAATTTCTCCTCGCCTGCACTTCCTCCTCCTCTTCCTCATCTTCATCTTCTTCCTTCTCTTCCAAGAGTTAAAGATTCATCTTTTGACATAATATTACATAACAACACAAAACAGAAAACCCAAACCTTACCTGTGGAACATCAAATCCAAGATTATTGACAGGGCCAGCATAGTATATCTGCTCTGAAAATACATAAAGCATAGATATAATATCATTCATTTATTTAAATCAAACCCCCAAACAATGTGTTTATATTATTTGTGGCCACAGGGATGTAGATCAAGTCTGGGTAATAAAACAAAAGTAGCCACTGATATAAAAGATTTAATTTCCTGGCTCCGAATGGATCTTCACTTATTTATGAACAACAGTCTCTGTCTGCATGTTACTTGTTTTCCAATGCCAAGGCTGCCAGCATGGAAAGATGTGAGCAGAGCGCTGCCCAGAGAGCGAAAAGAGCTGAAAGGAAGCGTGGAGGTCACAGAAAGACAGACTGACTGAGTGGTCAAGAGTCCACACTGGGGCTGGGATGCAGGAGAAACGCAGGGTGGAACTCTGAAGCCATCTGCTCTAAAGGTCTGACCGGCCGTTTGCTCTTTACACTCCTAAGATGTTCCAAAGATGGTTCTGTAATTTAAGAACTGTGTCTGCTTCCTAGGCCTGGAGGAATGCAGGGTTAATGAACTCAAAGCCTGAAGAGCAGCCTGTGCTAAACTTTTGCTACATCTGGGAAGAGGGGAATGCTGAGTTTTACAGGATGGTTGGTCAGAGGGAGGTATCTCCATGGTGGTGACAACTGATTAGTTGAACAAGAAAGAGAAATTTAAAGCTACAGCATAAAGAAAAAGCACAACGAGGAAAATCACCCGAGAAAGCAAAGGACAGAGATGGAGGTGGCTTGAGCGTCTGGAAAGATAGGAAGTCGGGGAGGAAATAGGGAGTTGGGGAGGAAAATTTGTGTTGGGGATGAAAGGGCTTGATTTCTAAAGTGACCAATGAAGGGTCTTTGAATGCAGTTGGATACCAGACCTGGAATTTGGGGGAAGAACTAGGGGTGCAGCTATAAATATTTGAGTCATTATCATGTAGCTACCTATAAAGTCACGAGACAGGATGAAGCCCTCAAGGAAGACAGAATTAAACAGAGGACGGAAGGCCAGAAGCACCCGGGAAACCCTCTGGCATCCAGAAGCTGGGAGTAGCAAAGCCAGTCAAGAGAATGACTGAATGGCAGAGGAGAAGGAATAATAGGCATGAAGATGGGAGGGAAGGGCTTTGTCCTGGAGAGAAGCACAAACACAACCCAGAGAAGTTCAGTGTAGGCTGATTTGTAAATTGGCCAAAGAATCAAGGCAGGTTGCCTGACTGGTTTGGTTTTCTCACTGAAGGTCACAGGCAGAACAAGGAGGCAGAAGGCCTTGGGTGGTGAGAGGCACAGGAAGTTATTCCAGTGTTCCAAGGACATTCCTTGAGTGGCAGCAGAATTCCTATAAAGTGCTGATAGGGCTTTGTTGTGAGGTTTGTGGCCAGAAACTCAAAGACCCAGTCCCAGGGAGAACATCCACTAGCTCACTGTAGGCAAGTGTTGGGTTGTAGTCACTTTTGTTACTTTCTCTTCTCTAAACACGGTGATTGCTGCTGCTAATTGCTGGAGGGTTCGTTCACATGATGTCATTTCTACTATGTCTATTAGAAATAAGTCTAGCCATGTTCAGGAGAGGTGAATTACTGGCTGTCTTCTTATGAAGACAAGAATAGCAGAGAATTCTGGCCCCTCACATAGGGGTGCTTGTCTTACTGGTCATCGCACTGCGTCACTGAATTAAGAACACCGAGTATTTTCCCTATGCTGAAAGACCCATCTTTCTTCTGACCCACTTCAGAGGCTTCCTGTCTCAGTCCCATGAAGACCTCCTATATTAAAAAGAAACCATTTTAAAACAGGCCGGCTGTTTGTTTTCAGTCAGTATACAAAACAATGGGTTCCACAGTGACATTTTTTTTTTCCTGTTTATTTTGAGACAAGGCTGGCTTTGGGTTTACTAAGAGGCTGAGGATGATCTTGATTTTCTGATCCCACTGCCTCAGCCCTCTAAGTACTGTGACAGCAGGTGCACCATCCCCAGAAGACACGTCTGCTTTCACACATGTGGTAGGAATTAGGTGGAGAGGGGGGTTCTATAGACATCAAGATTAGCATGGGAAACAACAACAACCAAGCCTTTAGCAGAAAGACTGGAGACCTTTCCTCACCAGGGCTCCATGGATGAGACAGAGAATGTGTGAGAACACACTTCCAAAAGCAGGGAAAGGTAGATGTTATGTGAATGACTGTAAAGTCAAAATCTAGGGTATCTGTCTGTCTCTGTCTCTCTCTTTCTCATGTTAAAATCTAATTTAAGTGTGTCTTTCTGTATACACGTGTGTGTGTGTGTGTGTGTGTGTGTGTGTGTGTGTGTGTATGTGCGCGTGCACTTGCGCTCTAGGGTGACCACTGAGGCTGGAGTCAGTATTGGATCCTTGGAGCTGGAGTTATAGGCATTTGTAAGCAGCTCTGTGTATTGGGAACCACATTCTGTTCCTGTGATAGAATTGCCCTTAACCGCTGGGCCATCTCTCCAGCCCCAACTTTCTTGCTAATTAGTTGTCTCCATTTCTAATGCTAGCAGTGTCCCTGGTCCAGTTCTTTGCACCTTAATACAGGAATCTTGAAATCTTAGCAGGTGCCCCTCTGGAATTGGGTGCATACCTACAACATGCATTATGATAGTTACTAATATTTACCCCCCAATTCCCTCCCTTCTCACCTGTCCTCCTGCTGGTCCCCTTCCACCCTATGCTTTCTCTCTGTGTGGTTGGATTCCTGTAGCATACATACTTCATGCCCACTTTAATGCTCTTGGATGGCCCAGGGCAAATGACTCGAGCCAGGAAGCAGAGATTGGTAGAAGGCCCAGCTCTCTTGGTCACTAGGAAAGTGACAGAGGGCAATCTTGCCCAACTCAGCTTCTAGACTCACAAAACAGAAGTAAAAAAATGTCCTGCAGGGTTCAAGGAGGACTAGAGTCCTTGTCAGTGGTCTCACTGGGCGGAGTGTGGTCTCCAGGAAGAGTAGTGTCAGTTGCCATTAGGCGATTATCAGTCACCTCAGAGAAGTGTCATCTGATGCATTCTGACAGCTACCGTGTCCCTCAGTTTTGGAAAGCCTTGTGTGGAAGGAGCTGTTTTTCCTTCCCGCATTTTCAAAGATGGCCACGTGTGAAGAATGCCGTGTCTGTGATACCTGCTCTTCTCCGATGCTCACTTAGTGCCCCAGGGTTTGCTAATTTGTGCTCCTCGCTCTTCACGGGTCCTTCTCTGCGAGAAGTTTTCATTAAATTGGTTTTCTATGCTTCACACTTTCAACTGGAGCTTTTTTGGAGCCCATGAAGTTCCTGAGAATAGCTACGAGGAACTCAGGGAAGTGACTTTTTGTTGTTAACCCGACAAAACAACACCTAAAATTAAACTCTCGTTCCTTCCCTTCTCAGGCCCTCTTCGTTTCTGAGATTCCTTTAATTAACATTCTCACACTTTATACTATAAAAAGATCCCCAGGATCCGTGCACCCATTTCTTCCTTTCCCTCATTGAAATACTTCCTTTCTGCCTTGGCCCTTTACCCTTTCTCTGGCTTTGCCAGGGCAGCTGTTTGCCACACACAGGTGGGCTTCTGAACTTGCAGCAGTGAGTTTTAAAAGTTATCTATGGATAGCTATGTGAATACATCCACTGGGAAGATAGCTGTACCAGGTAGTGTTTTGTCAACTCTATATACAAGCTAGAGTCCTATTGGAAGAAGAAACCACATTTGAGGCAACACCTCCATCAGATGGGCCTATAGGAAAGTCTGTGGGGTCATTTTCTTGAGTAGTAACTGACGTGGGAGGCCTAGTCCACTGTTGGCAGTTCCACCACTAGATAGACGGTCCCAGGGCATATAATAAAGGCAGGTGAACGTGAGCATGGAGAGCAAGCCCGTAAATAGTGTTCCTCCATGGCCTTTGCTTCAGTTCCTGCCTCCGCATTCCTGCCCTGACATCTCTCCACGATGGACTGTAAGCTGTAAGATGAAATAAACCTTTCCCTCCCTCAGTTGCTTTTGGTGCTTATGACCGGAGAGCAAAGCAGGATAACGTGTAAACACTCCTTTCTTTTCTTTTGAGAAGTCCACATTCGTGTGAGCTTTCTCCTTCCTTGTGCCTCTTTTTTAAATCTACAGTGTGCAGTACCTCTGCTTAATACTTACTTTTATGTGCTCTGACCTTTTCTGAAATTCTTTCTTATGGTACAGTCAAGGACCTAGCTTTCCCTGAGTGGAGGTCCTTAAGGATGCGGGTTTGCATGTCGGGGTTATGTGAGTCAGGCTGCGGATATCAGAGCTGGTCTGTTGCCCTTCAGCTGCTGGTATTTTAAAGCAGTTTCCATCCTGCTGGGCCAGTAGGGGGAGCTGGTTCTCCCAAGCTGTAGGAAATTATTGGCAAAGTGTCTATCAAAGACATTTCAGGCTAACCAATGAAATCAAACACTCCCAGTGTCAGCCCATCAATAAGAACACCTAAGAGCTACCCTGTCAGCAAGTTTCCGGCTAAAAGCACAAGACTACGGAGTCCAGTTTCCTCCCTGGGCATCAGATCTCAAGAACTGGTTGCTCTTACAGCTGGAATTCTGTGCCTGTGATGGCTAATGCTGTCAAGTAGACAGGGTCTGGAATTGACTAGGAGAGTGGCCTCTGGACAGATCTGTGAGGGAGTTTCTAGGCTGAGTTAACGGAGGTGGCCACTCTAAATGTGGGTGGCATGATTCTGTGGTCCCGAATCTCTGGCCGAAGAAGAAGGAAGAAGCTGGCAGAGCATCAGCATGGCCTTGGTCTGCTTCTTGGCCATGGATGTAACGTGGCCAGATACCTCTCCTTTCCTGCCATGATAAACTGTATCTCCTAAAGGGTGAACCAAAAGAAATTCCCCTTTAAGGTTTTCTTGTTTGACTTTTGAACACAGCAGTGAGGAAATTCACTTTAGCCCTGGGACCAATGCCATTCCTTTGTTTCTTAGTTCCTAGCTATTCTCTCCATCGTTAGTTGATGAATTTAATTTTTTTTTTAACTTTTAGCATCCATATCTAAAGGGACCCATGCCATACCT